TCTATCCTTTTCCTCCGTATACATTTTACTGTAAAAGGGGGGCGCGATGAAAATTATGATTGAAAACTGGGCCGCGAATAGTGAAAGGTTGAGAACCGCTGCCGTAGCCTTATGATTAATGAACCTAATTCAGAAGATCAGTACCCCAAGAGGTATTAATTTGTTAATGGAACTTGGAGAACTTTGTGACTTCGACGAATTTAACGTGCACCAGTCACCATTTAATACACAGGGATTCTTCGGCCGGCTAGATTCTTCTGTTCTGTTCTTATGAACACGAGTTCAAACAGGCTATTCCGGCCTGCCCATTATAATAGAAATGAAAAAGTGAAACTGTTCCTGGATTAGACACCAGCTAAGAATTTCCCCAGAATGCCCAACTGGAACAGCCATGACATGGGCGCTGGATGAAAAATGGAAAAGAGGCTTTTTGAAACTAACCTACAGACAAATGATAATAAAGGAAAGAAATATCCTAGGATGGCTTAGTTGGGGAAGTGCAAGGGAAGCGGCTCTTGACCGGCATGGATAGAATGCTACTTGTGGCCTCATACTTCACCTGGCGTAACGTCAGGTCAAGATTAAATAGATTGAAATAGTTGAAGGAGAGTCATTTTATTCTCTCTTGAAATACATATATATTTTTTTCAAAATTGACTGAACTAGTTTTGAAACCAAACGCACTGCTTTTCTTCAGGGTCTAATCAGATTAAGTAAAAAAAAAAATAATTAAAAAGTTGCTATAGTATAATTTTTTACTACATTTTGTTCACAAATAATGCAAATCTCTTCTAGAAAGGCTCGTAGTGACATATTCAGCTTCTTTTTCTACAAATTATGCAAAATATTCCAGCGAATGGAGTTCAAATATAAATTTTGCAGTATAATATGGTTTTATGTAATTTTGTTAAAATTGAATCCTCAAATAATTGTTTGAAACAAAAACAAGTTATAGAGCGACAAGGCTACTTAAAATACCAGTCCTTCTGTAGTTGTAATTAATTACCACCTGGTCGGGTGCATTTCAAGATGAAACAATTTGCCATTTTCTCTAAATTAATCACCATTCTAATTAGTTTCGCATTATGAAGTTAATTTCAAAAGAGTATGAGCCGATCAAAGTGAAAGAAATGATTCTTCTCATTAGAATATAAAACTTCAGCTTCTTTGAAAGAATCTTTAATTAAGTGGTTTTAATTAAGACTCTGCACGAAGGCTTATGTTGCAGTTGAAAGAGAAAGGTTAAGAGGTTTAAAAAAAATTTACAAATGTCATTTCCTCTGGTTTTGTTAGTTTTAATTTGAAAGTTATTGATTGGATTTATTTAGATGTTGAAGAATAGGTAGTGAAATATGGATATAAAAATAAGCATCATAATCTTAACAGGGAATGTTTTAAGTATAGAATTAGAATCCTATTATGTTTTGTTAAGTTTTTTAAAATGCATCCCTAAAATCATGGGATTTTACTAACGCTAGTATTTCTGTAAATCATGTAAAATGCACTTTTGCCATATTAATCATCCTTAAAAAGCTCGTATTACGCTTTTTATGTGTCAAATGTTATGGCAACTAATTTCAAATAGGATCAAAATAGTGGAATAGATGTAAAAACTGAAAAACTCTAAATTTTAAGAAGCGAAATAAATTCCAAAAATATATTTTTCTCATTTGAATTTGATTTATTTTTATAATATACTGCAAAAAATATTCCGAATCAAATTACAGTAAAAAGTGCCGGCACTCAAGATGCTGGTACTTTATACCGTAGGATACATTTTAAACGGAACTTGCTACGGAACAAAAAAAATCTGATATATTGCAATTTATACTATGATAATTATCGTAAAATCACTGAATCGTAATAATTAAATGAATATTATTCTAAAAAGTACGGTATAATATTTTATGGTAAACATGGAATTTAGGACAAAATGCATTTTACGGATAATGCCCAGAAAGTGTCCGTACTTGATACTGTAATTTGACTCGGAATTTTTACAGTGTATCTTATTTTACAATACTTCCTTCCGAAACAAGTCTCACTACCATTGAATCTGAACAATATTGCAGTAAAAGTACTCACTTTTGTAATTTGATGAAATAAAGATAAAGTTATAAAAATTTATTAAAATAGCAGATCCTTTAAAAAAGCAGTTGCAATACCTAAATTCACCTGAAATATTGATCGAATGGTACATATTTTTCTTTTCAAATAAATATTCAATAAAAATTTTAAAGAAATATTTAAAAAATAGTTTCTTGTTCACATTTTTTTCAAAATAAGAAATGATTTTCTCCAGATATGCTCTGTATTTTTTTTAAATGTAGTTTTCTTTCGCTGAGTTTCTTTCTACATTCAGGTGAAATTTAATTTTGAGTGTAACAACTTTTATTGTTATTTTGAATCGGAGTTCCCAGTCTCGCTTAAAAAAGAACGTTTCAGAAGAAAAATGTTTCTAATTTAAAAGTCCAAAATAAATTTCACGGATGATTTGCATTTTGAAAGCCTGATAAAAACGTTGAAAAAATCTCTACATTCATTTACAACCTTTACAATTAAATTCTAAGAAATGATTTTTTTGTCCTTTTTTGTCGAAACTGAAATTTCAAATTCCAGGCTGATTTTTAACAATTTAGAATTATGTCTCATGTTCCCAATAACTTGAAATTTATTCTTCAGAAAAGCGTTGATTTTAAAATAAAACTGGGAGGATATGCAGTTTATATTTGTATGGAATAAATTGGAAGTCTAGGTTATTTTGATTTCTACATAGCTTTTAATAAGAATAAAGTTTTTCAGGTGGTAGCGAAAAAACAAGACTACACATAAATTTGAAGCAATTTATTTACATTTTAACAATAAAAGTTTACATCTTCATTTATTTTATTCAATTTAAAATAAAAAATTTATTTAACAAATTTGGTGTCAAGAATCAAAAAATACTCTCTCGCAATGTCTTAATTAACTAATAGTCGCCTGAGGCGGCCAGCTGTCCGCCACGCTAAAGGTTTTCACAAATAAAGTTTTTTAAAACATAGCAGGAAATCTGAAGATTAGTGGACAATTAAAATGTTCCTGTCCTGCAATTTTGTAATCATATCCAGATGAACAGCGACAAATATAGTATTAAGTATTGAGTATAGTAAAGTGCGGCGTGCTCTCTGCTTTCGCTTATAGCACTGCGTTTCAATAGGTAAGGCTTAATTTAGCCTAATAAACAAATATAGTGAGTATTGAGTATAGTTAAGTGCTGCGAGCTCTCTGCTTATCGCTTATAGCTCTGCGTTTCAATTTTAACAAATATATCAAAGCGAAGCGTTCTATTTACGTATCGAATATGTTGCCACATTTTTAATACAGAAGTTAAACTTTTCTCCACTTTAATAAATGTAAACTAATGCGAACTTTACAATTAAATTATTAATTCCTTCGTATATTATTGGTTTAAGTTGTCGAAAATTAATATTTCAATTGTGAGGTTCGCATTAGCATACATTTATNGCCAAAATCCTTAAAAATACAGTTCTGTCCGTAAATTTTTTTCTTAAAACATAAGGCCACTGCCCGTAAGTTTACGTTAGGCTCGTAAAAAATATTTTCAGTTAGGGCCTCGACGTTGTTTGAGACGTAAGCAATTAGTGAATCAAAGCAAAATACTAAAGTGCTGCCATAAGATAAAATTGGAAAAAAATTTCAGTAATTTTGCGTGGGGAAAATACAAAATCTGTGCGAAATCGACCGAATAGTTCCTAAGAAATCGAATTTTTAAAAAAATCATATTTTTAAAATTTGATTTTTCAGAAATTATATGACCGATTTCTTTCAAATGAACGCCATGTAAAATTACATTCTTTAAAATGATGCAAAAAATTGTCTGTAATTCAAAACTTCTTCGACCAATCTTAAATAAAATAAAAAATGTTATTTTTGGCATGGAATTATCTTTGGATAAACGAACTTTATAATTGAGTGTAAAAATTTCTCGATTTGGTTAAAACGCTCTCGAGATGTGGAAGAAGACGCAAAAAGTAAGATTTACATTAAGGAGTCCAAATTTTGGAGCGCTCTCTTGTCAGAACTATTGGGATCATATTTCCCAGATTGCGATTACTCCCTATATTTTAGGGGTCAGATATTCAAATCCATCAAAAAAAAAAAAGCTTATTCAGAGAGAAAGTGAGTTTTTCAGTCTGATTTCGTAACTTAAAATATCATTTGCAGTAATTAATTAGTATATTTGAGTATATTTTAGGTTAAAACCTCGAACCATAACGAGTTCTAAAACGTGAAACCCTATCATTAGATCAAAAGTTATTCAGTGTGGTAAGTTATTTTTAGAGCACTGCACATCAAGAGTAGATGAATCCTAGCAGAACCATTCAAATTTGTAACTACCACAAACGGTGACCAAAAATCCTAACTCTTACTCGGTGTTATTAGACCCACGAGAGAATTTGAAAATTCAGCTACAGATAAAACATAAAAGTTCAGCTCACTTGAATGAAAACTGTATAAGTAGGGATACATAGAAATGGTTCGTAAGTGTTCGCAGTCTTTCCAGTGCTTTTAAAAGATGTATAAAGCAAGTAAAATAAAAAAATAAAATTAGTACATTACCTTGCTCAGGATGACTTCCGGGGCTAAATACTCTGGAGTGCCACACAGCGTCCATGTTCTTCCTCTAACTTTTTTTGCAAATCCAAAATCTGTTACCTGACGAAAAAAAACTCACTTATATAAACATATGACATCTCTCCATATGTATTTACATATAAACATAAGTTTTCTTTGAAACAATCACAGTAAAAATAATTATTGGCGATACAAATTTTTCCATTTTGAAGAAACCTATTAAAATCTGAAAAGGGAAGCAAAATTCTAATGAATTTAAAAAAATTACCTTTCGAAGATTTTTATGGCACAATTGACAATTAATTGAATTAAGTAGCTGCCACTTCCTGACTACTGTTAAAAAAATATCTAGTATTCCTAAGCAATATACGTAGGTAAAAACTGCTGGCTTTTCGGTAGCACACGGATTTCAAATTTACTTCTTTTGAAGTTCCTGTCGGATCGACATGTGGCGATGTTTACTGACCAGGTATTGAAAAAAATAGTAGTCTTGTATTTTTAGGCAATACTCGGGTAAAAACTGTTGGCTTTTCGATAGCACTCGGATTTCAATGTATAAGACTACTTAATTATTCTTAGTGATAAGTTAGAAATATAATTGTCTAGTATTCTTAAGCAATATACATAGATAAAAAGCGTTTAGCATTTCCGCAGCATGCGAATTTCAAATTTATAAACATTTAGTGATAAGTCATTCTGGAAGCAATCACATAATAGGTATAATAATTTTATCGAAAATCAATACATGATTACACAGGATAATTAAAGTTGCGAAGATTATTCAATACTAGGTGGCTTCGCCCCCAGCTCGCTAGCGCTCGCCAACCCCCGGAACTGCTTTCGCAGTTCATTTCGGATTGCTTCACAATCCAATGCTCGCTTTGCTCGCTCATTGGATACGTTCTTGGCGTCTAGCTTTTGTATACTTTTTTGAATACTGAAGTTCCGAAAACTCTTCACAGTAGAAAATTCTAAACCTGTACATTTCAATATTAATTTGAAATTGCAAACAGTTCACAAATTTTCCTTAATCACACTATTCTAAATTTCAGTTGTTGAGAAAAGTAATTGTTGTAAGTTTTGTTTTAAAGTCTTTCCCACCAGAGGACTAAAGCCATGTGCTGTAAAACAATATGAAATAGTAGTCTGAATAGTAGAGAGAGAGAGTGAGAATTTCTTTAAAAACACAATTGCTAATTTGGGCATTTGGCGATACAACACTTATAGAATTGAAGGATTTGTTGCGTCAAGCACTCAGGTATCTTAATTTGGATCTAGTTGCGCTTCTATGTCATTTTGATTTATGTTGCTAGTTAACTTTCAAAAAATTCTATGGCTGCCAACAGCATTTTTATTTTTTAAGTTGTTTATTTTTATTTCTTTTAGAATTCGTTCTTTTTTTAGCGAAATGTTTTTTAACGTAACAGAATTCTTTGCCGACTGTTTTCTCTATAAATGAAGAAAATAAAGTAAATATTTAAGTGTTGCGAAAAGAATCTTATTTAGTTGTGCAAAGTACTTCAGCCAAAATTTGGGAGCCCCGTAAGAGAATTATATATATTAGATCAGAAACACATCATTAAAAGGCAGAATGCTTTGGTGTTTTCAGAACGTAAACAAAATAAAGCAAACGCTGCCACCTGCGGAAAAGAAATACAGCCAAAATTTGGGAGCCACGTAAGAGATTTCAAATGTGTTATATATACTAGATAATTTATCTCCATGAACAAAAAGTATAAATTAATACGCAAAAAAATCTTTATTCATTTATACCTAAATAAAGTATAATTTAAAATTGAAATATATTCATTTTTCTAAAATCTCTAGTGTTTTACTCTGGAATTAATGTTTTGTGAAGAACAAGATATCATTTGCAATATTCTATCATATTACAAAGCTTTTACCATCAATTAAATTTAAAAAAATGCCCCATTAGTTCTTGCCCCATCAGTTTTTTTAAATTTATATATTTTTATATGGATTGATTCTCTCTCTGAAAACCTTTTATCATTTAACACTTTGTTTCCAAAATTTAGACGTTATTTTGTCTTAAGTGTCCTAAAAAACAAGATTTTAAGCCATTAACGTCTGAATTTTAAGATATTAAAGTAAATGAAAAAACTATTTAAATTTAGAAAGTTGCGAGAAAATTATATTTTGGCAAAATAAAAATTTGCTTCTGTTAGTTATCTCTTCAGAATTTAAAAGGAAAAAAAAACATTTGCGTGATTTGAAAACCACGTCTTTTTAATATGAAATAATTCACATAACGTACATAGCACATTAGGTCACCATTAAATACAATTATCTACTTTAAAAGAGCTAAATACCGATACTTACTTTAACATAGCCTTCTTCATCTATGAGAAGATTCTCGGGTTTTAAATCTCTGTATACTAGGTCTAAAGAATGTAGATATTCAAATGACAGCACAATTTGTGAAGCGTAAAATCTTGTACTTGGTTCACTAAAATGAGAAAATTAAACAGTTGGTAAGACCCTTTGATGATTAAACCAATATAGAAGCAAATATAAAGATGAGCTCTAAAACATATATTCAACAGGTTACTTTTAAAAGATATGTAACACACAAAAGCGTTTCAAAAAAATCTCGTAAACTTTTTTTCGTTCCTATATGTATCCTATATGTATATTCGTTCCTATGTATTTCGTTCCTATGTATTATATGTATTTCGTTCCTATATGTATATTCGTTTTGAAATATGTGTTGGAAGTTACGCTATTCAAATTCCTTATAACAATTCAGAAATGTTTAAAAAGATTTCAGGTGTTATGACGAAGAAAAAATGTAGTGCTGTTGTCTTTTATGTGGTAATAAAACCAGTAAATCAGAGCTTGAAGACTAGACAGAAATGTATTCGAATATCACTTTTAATTTTTATTTCACTTAGCGAAGTCCAGATTTTAATTCACTAAAAATTGAAAATTTTAACACCTCACTCCCAAACTATTTCATAGCTGTCAACCCGGATCTCTTAGTTTCAAAGAATATTTAAACGGTACCAAGCCAAATAAAAATTTAAGGTAAACTTAATTTGTTTAATTCGGTCCGCATTTAAATACTTCTCTGCGCAATTAATAAGTTCTATATAAATGTTAAAGTTGATTGTATGCTGTGGTGGGCGAAATCATTGTGAACTAAATTTATTAAATCAATAATAAAACGGTAAGTCAAAAATTTACTATCGCTCTGAATATTCAATTAAAAACGCCCTAATAAATCAGAACAAGTTGGAAATCATGTTAGTTTTCCTCTTCAAAAGGATTTAATCACAGATTTCAAAGACGCGACGCCACTGTGCAATTCTCAACGCCATACAAAATCTGTAACGGAGTTATGAATGTTTACTATAAAGATTTCTTTTCATGTTTCTAATATTCAATGCTTATTTTTACTATAAATATTTATTTCAAGGGTATGTATTTCATCGCAACACATTGAAAGGTATTATCAGTAAAAACATTGAAAATATAGGTTTTAATCTTTTTTTACACAATTCTTAAAGTATGTATATTCGCTAATATTTACCTAAAATTGCGAGTTGCATTTTATATAATTAAGAAAGACGCAGCATATGTTATATAAACGAATTAGAATACATTTTATATACATGTAAAATTTAATAAGCCTTCTCAATTTCAAATTTCGATTTTTATACTGAATAATCCACTTCAATCTTTATTCCGTATACTTAAAAACTTCGAACTAGTGTAGTTTCTCTTGAAAAAAAGATTGATTTAATTGTGTTCATATAGTTTTTAAATAATTAAAAAAGTTTAACCCGATTATTTTTAGTATTTATTTAATAAATATAGTAACCGACGTACAATGGAAGCTATATTAATTATAAGGGTTGCCGACGTGAAAAGTGCACTAGTATTCAGAATTATTCAGTAATGTTGCTACTCAGTCTGCATAGTGCATTTAACTGATTAACTCATAAAGATGGGTCTGCAAAGCAGTATAATGCGCCGTAGTTGGATGTTTAGCTGAAAAAGGGTAGCCTAATACACAATGGCGCAACCAGAAAATGTTTCTGTGTGGGGTTTAAAGATTGATAATATTAACGGGAGTTGGGGGGGGGGGTATGGCATATATTAATAATGCTAAAACTGACCTTTTTTGATGTACCTTCTCCATAAGAAACTACTTATGAAATCGATTTGAAATTTTTTGAAGTTATTTGAGATTACACCAGTTGTATGCTGTGATAATGTGCCAGCGTTAATAGGAATACTTTTTGAGTGATGAAAGATTTTTGCTCAAAAATGATGAAACTTTTTAAAAAAATAAAAAGTTCTCAGTTCATAATTTTTTCTAAAAAAATTCTGCCAAAGATGTGTATTAATAGTTCTCACTGTGTAAATATTCTTGCAAAAAAACTGAATCAATATCTTATTTAGATGCAGTTAAAAGGTATATCGTAAAAGTTCAGTTTTAGCATTATTTAGCCTACCGACTCCTTTTGAAAAGACAGACAATTAAAAACGTGTTAAGTAAAACTTCAAAAAAAAGAAAAAAAAGCAATTGCGAATTATGAATAAAAATATAAATGAGATTTAAACCACAATAATCTATTTTAATGTAAACATATGGAATAAAAATATTTTCAAATTTGTACCTACTGTTAATTTGTTTTTGAAATTAATAAACAGCATGAGTTCTGCAGATATTGTTCCTTACCTAAATCGACCCGTCCGTCGCAAATGAGAAAACATCTCACCACCAGAAACATATTCCAACACCATATACAAGTTGGAGTTATCCTGAGATAGAAAAAATAGAGAATTAGTTAATAAATCATAATTAACCAAAAACCTTAAGATGAAATAATTAAATCTCAACATAGAATCAACATTAGAAAAAGCTAAATATTTAAAAAGTTTATATAAATAAAATAACATAATTAGTTTATAGGAATTTCGCAATTATTTTTTTTTGAAATAAAGAAAAAATTTTAGTTTTCATGCATAAAGAAGTCTCTTTCCTTATTATCTTGGATTTAAAGTAAAATTTTGATTCACGTGAATTTGAAATCACGTGATTTCGTGACGAAAATCATTTCGTTACGCTTACAAATCATTTCGTTCATCGCTTAAAATTAACAAAATACAGCTCAAAGATAGCTTAATCGTCAAAAGTGAGAGTTTTATTCCTGAGTGTGTAACGGCACATTGCTTTTCAAAAGGATAAAAAAAAGAAAGAATCGTTTTATTAAATTATTCCGTAAAAACTATGATGTGGTATCTCTCCGAATTTGGAGTTAAACAACTGATAAAAGCCGATATGGATGGTGTTGAAAATTTTAAAACAAATATTTTTTTAATCAAAAATATCTAAAAACAGACAAAATCGAAATACTTCCTTATAAAAATGCATACGAACAGTTAAGTCGGAAAAAATGAACAGAGGATTTAAAATACCGAGTAGTATATTTCTCATATTTTAATCGACAGACGGCATTGTATATTATTATTTTTTTTTTTTTGAAAGATCAAGCAATACTGCTTTTGTGCATTTTAAATAGGTTTAATGACTAAATAAAATTTTATGTTAAATAAAGAGCATATAGATTTATTTATGTGAAAAACATTAAATACCTCTTTGGTAATGTCTGTAAAACACAATGTAACAGAAAATGTGTTCACAGAAGTGTGAACTGATGATGATATTTACGATGTATGATTACAGATTTGTTTAACAAAATATAAATAATAATAAAAAATGCGAAAATAATTCTTTAGTCTCAAGTTTTTATTATTTACCACCAAAACAAACAATGTGAAAACAGCAAAATTATGATAGCAGATTTGTTTAATGAAATATAAATAATAATAATAAATGCAAAAATAATTTTGTAGTCTCAGGTTTTTATTATTTGTCACTAAAACAAAACAAAAAATGTAAAAATAGCAAAAGATAATATCACAGAATGTAAAAATAACAAATGAAGTAAAATAAAAATTAAAAAGTAAAAAGAACTTTTCCTAAGTGCTCTAAGAAATAGAAAATAATTTTATTTTTGCTAACGCTAAACGTCAAGTGCCACATTTGAAATTTTTTTTGTTTCATTATTTTTTTAAATCCGGTTTTATTATTTTTCTCTTTTTCTTTTGTTTAGTATTTTTTTCTTTTGTTTATTTCTTATTGTCATCTAGTACAGAGCACCGATTAAAATTCAAACATTCTAGTCTAGCTAATCAGAATTTTGTTTGCCATATATTCCTTTTGTCTATAATATCGTAATAAATTCCGGCTGTGACGATCAGGAAACGATTGTATTTTGAATTGTCATCTTGAGAAGACGTCCAGAAGAGGTTTGGCTGCTCAAGCTAGTCGGAAAATGATTAAAATTTCGATTAAGGAACGTCACCCTATCACGTAAAAACTTCTTTATAAAATCATAGCACTAAGAAGTTGCCAATAGCAGAGATAATCAATAAAAATTATCATATAATTCACAGGTAAATAAAATTGGTAGTTTTTGTTGATTTCCTGCTAATGACAGTTTCCCATACCCGCGAAATTTTTTTTTATTCCGTAACATGTCATGCGATTTATATTCCGGTAATTGGCTAATGTATGATCCATCTATTAATTTTAAATGGTATTGTAGGACAAGTAGATATTAGATAAATAATAATATAAAAACTTCAACTGTTTTAAATACCTATTAAGGTGTTAAAAGTCGAAATGTTTCGAGCGCTCAAAAATAGGCACCCTAGGTCAAGACACGCTGGGCGGAGAATTAGGGAAGCAAAAGAAACTTGAAAAGAAAATGTAAAGTTGCTAACGAAACAACGAAAGTAAATTTATTTTTCTATTATATATAATATATTATTTTGCTTCATATATTATTTTATTAATATTTAATTATACATAACTATATGTGTTCGATAATTTATTTTCCATTTCTTTCATTGCGCATTCATGTTTTGGCGAGTCCTGAGATAGGGAGCCCATTTTTGTGTTCTCGAAACATGTCACATTTTACAACCTTCCTAAGTTTTTGAAGCAAATAAAGTTTTTAAATTATCAAGTAAATCTTTCCTCTCTAGTTTCTTGTAATTATTCATTTAATTTAGATATTGTATTGCAGTCTTTATAAATATGATCTCTAAAAACTCTAAGTTTACATTTCAGTTGTTTTTCTTTTGTATTTGTGATTATTTTTTCTCAATGATAACTTGCATTGAAATCCGTACACTATATTTAGAATATAAAGTTCAATTAAGAAGAAATAAAAAAGTGTTTTTTTCTCTATCGATGGTTTAGAAAAAGCATGAAAAATATTAAATCAAATATAATTTTCATAGCAAAGGCAAATTCATGAAAAAATATATTCTACTACATATTTTTTTTACTTAAACCGAAATAATAATTTTTTTCTGATCTAGTTTGAAATCTAATTGGTTTTAAAGTAAAAAGTAATGAAGAACATTTCTCTAAGATTGAATTTTTTTATAGATAAATTAACTGTTGATAGATAAATAAACGATGAATCAATTCATTTAAAACTGGCAAATATTTAACAAAAAGGTACTTTCTTAAAATTTTTTTTATTACCTATAATGAGGTTTGCTTTCTCCTCCTAAAAATATTTCGTATTTTTAATTTTTTTAAGAGAAAACTCCCATTAAAACCAATTAAGCACTTTTCTTTCATTAAAAAAAACTTTCTTAATTTTTGATTTCATTTCAACAAGAGAGTTAATTACTATTCCTTTTTTGTCGAAATAGAAAAGCATTTTCCATCTTTTTCTAAAGTGTATTCCAAATAAGTGATTTACTTAATTTTGTTTGATTTGTATTGCTTTTTCTAAATAATTAAATCATATAATGCTCTATAAATACTTTTCTTAAAAAAAGTAAAAATAAAATGAACGTAAATTGGTTTTGCAATCTTATTTTCAATAATATAGTTTCATTTAAAATATAAAAGAAGTAAAAAAAAACTTTTCTTTCACTTTTTCAATTTTCTTTTGATTGCAATGTTTGAAGTCATTATTACAGCCAAATGCATTTGCATAAAGAATAATATAGTTGGAGATAATTACAAATGTTTGCCAAATTCTGCTGTCAATTCGCAATTTGTCCAGTTTCGAATTTTATTTGATCAATGGTTCGATTTCACGAACTTACTTGGTCATCCGTGATAAAAATGTAGAAAAATCATCAGTTGTTGTACAATTTTTTAAAAGAAAATTGGTATAGAAAACAGGCGATGGACATATTTATGGACATATTTATATTTGAAATGTCAAGGTGTCTATCTAGGTCTAGGTTTAATTACTTTAAACAATTTTGCCTTCACATTTAGTCTAATAATTTAAATTTCCAGATGTAAAGTGGAAAGTTAAAAGGGCAGAGAGACTTAATAACTTTTGATTTTGACTGAAAATAAGAATATAGTACAATTTACCATGCTTCTAGCCCTGTTGGAACACCAAAAATTTGTACGCATTAATAACAATTAATGCGTACCCAAGGGCATTAGTAGCAATTTCGGTAAAATTAACAATATAATACTGTTAACCTGGTTAACACGATTTTAACCCGGGAAATATGCTTGAAATGCGAGTGCACTAAATTCTGCATCATTCTATCATATAGCACAAACGGTGCTGAAATCAGGTAAAATTTTTTAGAGATCTCTTGGAAAATGCAAAGATAACACACGAATGAGTAAGTAATTAATATTGCGAAATATTTTAGAGATCACGTTTTGTCAAAAATTTCGTAGCTTTGCGAAAAAATTATTGTCAAAGATGCCAAAATTGATTTATTTAATTAATTATTTATGAGGGCTTTTTCTGAGAGTGTTGCTTGCAAACAAAGATAAATTTTGAGTTTTATGACGAATTTGTACAAACTGTGATCACAATACATTTTAGCACATAATTTTTTAGCATAACTTTTTACACAACTACGAACAAATTTGAATATATTTGTGCTTACAATGAAGTGAAATCAAATTATATATTAAAATAATATGACTAAGTCAAATATTACAGAGCTTTTAGAGTAAATAATAATAGCAAATATATATATTGCATTCAAGACAATGTGACTATGTTAAGCAGCTGTTGATTTCTAAAACATTTTGATTTTATCAAAATATTTCTAAAACAATTTGATTATGACAAACAAAACTTTACATCACATGATTATTGCAAGCGGATCTGATTTCTATAAGCTATTGTTCGAAACTTGGTAAGTCATACCTATTTCCTTAATCAAAACAATAAAATTATGATAAATTATTATGAGATATAGTATTAAAATAATATGATCAAATCAAACACTAATAGATTAAAAAATGCTATGCAATACTGTAGTGAGGACAAAAAAAAGAAAAAACTAGAACAGTTTTGGAGTAAAATTGGGTTATAACAAGTAAAATTGGAATCAATGACGTATTATGTCATTTTCCTTTTTTTTTTGGTAAAATGAAGAAACAAAGAAATTTATTTAAAATTATTACTTATCAGAAAAAAAGTAAAATGCTTCTTAATTAAATTTGAAATTGTCTTACTTTGAAATGGTACACAAGATTGACCATAAAAGGGAATTCTATGGCTTGCAGTATTCTTTTTTCATTCAGTGTATGATCCACTTGCTTTAATTTTACAACCTGTAGGGAAAAAAGGTAATTATAATAATAATTATATATTTTTTTCTTGTTATGCATTAACTACCAAATTTTTTTATTTTATTTATAATTTTGTTAATATTATATAGCTTATAAGTGATATTTAAAATTATTGCATTTAATTTTTAAACTGTCGAAGAGCCTTTAGATGTTAAATATATAAAATATTTCTCCTGTCTCTTAGCAAGAAATTGTATGTATAGTTTTGAGAAATGGCATCATAAAATTTTTTTTTGCTTTTAAAAAAATGCATGTTTTAATGGCAATTTTTAGAAGCCTACATCCTATGAAATAACATATTTATAAAATTTATAATTTTGAATGAAAACAGACAACTATTAAGAGGAAATATTTCTTAAATAATTATAATGAATTCAATGGTTAATTAATTAAATAAAATGATATTTTTCGAAAAATAATTTTTACATCAAATTACGATTTGTAATAAAACTATCTTAAGAATTGTTTTAAAAGTGGAATCATTTTATTAGTGAAATGGTACACAAGTTTGCTTGTTTCATGGTTTGTATTTTCACAGATTTCATTCGCATAGAGCTGATGCATCGTTTGCTATTGTACTTTATTGTAAGTAGTGAGTGAATGGTAACGTTTTGGGGATTACAACAATTCAAAAACAAAATTTTTTAGAGTGTGAGTAATTTTTTCCCCCATTTATACGTTTTTTTTTTATTGTGTCTTTATTATTTAATGTGTATATATTAATTTGAATGACTGTACTTTTAGCTATTTGCCATAATTCTTAAGAAATCTAGCTTTTATAAAGAGAATGGCAGAGGTTGACACAATAGGATTGAGGTTGCTTGTTCCAAGCTCTCTATTGTGACCCCTGTTTTTACATCTTTCGGCGGCCGAGCTCTGTGGCACTCTTTTTTGTAATAGCACAAATTTGCTATCACAGATATAGTTTTTGATTCTATGCGACAAAATTTAAATCATAGAATGGATTTAAACAAAATTTGGTTAAACTGTAATATTTTAAATAATTGCGCAATATTCTAAAAATAATTAATGCCTTAAACTTTTTTTTAAAAATCTAACTCTATAGACTACTTTTCAATTAAACGCATATAACGTATTTTGAAAGGGAACATTTCTCAAAAGTGATAATAAAGTGATTTAACCTATTAAAATTGTTTCATAGATGTAATAAATACTTTTTCCAAACATTTAATTCTGTTTGATGTTTAAAAAAAATAACATAAGAAACAATGAAAAGAATTGTATCAAAATTTGCACATAACTAAACAGAAATGAACTAAAAAATGTGAGGCGAATCATTTGAATATAACTCAAAGACGTAACTAATGTCAGGAGAAAAGCTTCTGATATCCGAGTCTCGAGATTGCTACAGACATTAATACAGAGTACGATAGAAACTAGATTCAAAAGGGAACTGAATCTGTAGTAATTCAAAATAAATGAATCCAAGAGAATACGAGTTCGGTCTTATTCTTCGAATTAGTACAATCACCAAACTGATACAGGGTTCAGCAAAAAGATATTGCACTTATTACACCAGATCGGCTAACTTCTATAATTATATATATTTCTTGTGTTTTAAGCTGAATAACAATCAAAATGTATTGTAAAAATAAAATCTAGATTGCACAACAAGATTGTCGACGAAAACCTGCTATCATTCCACAGGGCTAAGATAGATATTTTAAGCTTTGCGCATTATACCAAAACGGGGCGAGTTATTTATCCGCGAGTTAATATAAATTAAACCATTAGAGAAATTACCTAAAAAATAGTCAATAATTTTAAGCTGTTGATGTTCAATAAGCTTTTTTACTCATATAAAATCTCCAAGAAGCATAATCACTTTTATTACATTAAAAATGCTTCGTTTAGGGCTAAGTATTCTTTCAAGACATGTTTAACCCCGTAACGATCGGTTAATTTTCAAGAAAACGGTCATAAAAGTGCTTATTCTTTTTATACACGTACATTATACACGTATTTGATTAGTGCTGACATCTAGTTTAAAATAAACTATCTACAATTACCTTAAAAATATCCTGGTACTGCCATCTGGTGTACAAAATGAGAAATAAAATGTTTTCCGTGCAAAAGGAATGAATTAGTTTTATTCTTTTTCCCACGTTACTACTGAACACTCCTGCCCGGGAATATCACGGGAGCGAGAAATAGAGGACGAAACCTCACCCCGTCATTTTTACGGAAGCGAGAAGGAAGGGGTTAAAATCTTTTTGGTAATTAAATAATAATTAAGTTCCTCAATAAACTGACATTAATTAATGTTGGATAATTCAAAAATAAACTTGCCTTTAGTTTGTCGAGAATTTTCATGGCGTAGTACTTTTTTGTATCATTATGCTGTACAAGCATGACTCTTCCAAATGAACCAGTGCCAAGAGTTTGAATTCTTTCAAAATCTTTTAGCTTTGCTGTATTCTAAAAGCAAAATACATCATAAAAATAAAATTATACAAAACAAATCAAAAAATTTTTTAATCAATTAGTAAAAAATTATAAAAAAATAAAATAAAAATTAGTTAAAAATTTAAAAAGCATATTGATTTGTCTTGCAAGGAAAAAGTGTGACAAGGAAAATAATTCACTTTTCCTTCATTGAATCTATATTTTTGACTTATTATTTAGATTTTTTCAATAAATATCTTCATTTGTCACCGAAATTGCAAAAATGAATCGTATAAGGTAATTTTTATTTAGTTGGAGTCATGGTGAGATAGGAATATGAGATAGATGGACGCACACTCTGTGATACCTACTTTATTTAATAAATGGCAAAATGGTGGTCGAAAAAGTAAATATTTTTTAAACATGCACATGCCAACAGAAGGAAGTCGAAAATACCCTTACAAAAAATAGGGTGTTTTTAAGGTTGTTTTGAGGTTGACTGGAGTAAAAAAAATACTTTTAAGGTATAAAATGAATTTATGTTTTGCACCAAAAATATCCTCAACATTTAACCTCCTAAAATCAACCTCATGTATAGCTATACTTTTACTTGAAATCGGGTGGAATTATTCACTCCTCAAACATATTTTTTTGCTTGAAGTGTATAAAAAATAACATTTACCTCTCCAAAACAATCTCTCTAAGCTTGTCGCTCTAAAGCAGATTTCTGTCAACCTCAAAACAACCTCAAGTGTGAATAAACCAATCTTATACACCTTGATTATGAATCTCGGGAAGTTGATTTCTTACTGTTGTTTTTGAAGTCAACCTCAAATCAACCTTAACACCTCAGATGAACCTCAAAAACACTTTAAAATTTTGTAAGGGATACAACCAAAGGATTATTCTTGACGATTCAAAATTGTGTAAAAATAACCGCCTTCAGTCATTTTATTAAATTCGAACTAAATTCGATAAGGTGTTGATGATAGAGTAGCTGGATGCTCATAGTTTGTTTTGGACGTTTGGGGGGAGTTCTTGTCAATCAAGATCTTGTGAAATCTATGTTTTGCAATATATTCAATAGCGCAGCTTGAGAAAAGAGGAGGCTCTCTGCAGTCTGGCTAATCTGAGTAATGCCGCTCTCGATCAGAGACCCATTGTAGCGTCCAATTTGAACAAAGGAGGAGGAAAAACAAATTGAAGACATTAGTGATTTGATAATTTTATAACCGTCATGGAGCAGACGATTCCATTTTGGATTACGACTGCTAATGTTCAACTCCACAGCCTTGTACTTTTGAACCAAATCTAGAACACAAAGAAACTTCTGGATCAAGTATTGGGATAAATTTGTCTTTGTGGGGGACTTTTTGATGAACTAACTTTCCATTTGTGTTACACGGAGATGAAAACCCCGAAAACTTTTCACAGTTACTCTGACGGGAAGGGGACTTCAATCCATGATCCATCAATCACTGAGAATATTTTACGTCTGAACAGTGATCGATGTGAGCCGGGCCATAGTGAGCTGGGCCGTTTCGACCAGCCATAGCTGGGATTCGAACTCAGGTGACCTCATTGGAAACGAGCGCTCTATCCCCTGAGCCGCAATGGCCCTTTATATACCATTTAGTTAAATGTAGACACTATCATGAAGATAGCTTTACTGGTTGTTTTTTATTTTTATTTTTCTCTTTTCTAAGATATTTTTTATGCCTATCTTTCTCCGAATCACTGTATCTGTTTTATTAAATTTATTTTTATCGTAATTGAGATTGCAAAACAGTATCATTATGCGGAGAAAGATAGGCATAAAAAATGTCTCAATCATAGTACTTGATAGTGTTTTTAGAATCCTTGGGAAAAAGGAATTTGACCCTTAATGCTTCACCAAATTTGGCGATTTATTAAGTCATAATAAAGTTATTACTTTATTTGCTGGCGGAAAACCAATACGCATTCTCTGTATCTTGTATTGGAAAGAATAATTAAGAAAACGGCTGTTATTGTCCGTAATAGATCTATTATAGTTATACTGAATTTAACTTCAGTATGAGCATTTTTTTTTGTTTTATTTTCATTTCTAGATTTGTTATCAAATATCTGTTTTCGATCCTCAGAGTTTAAATGATTATTAGCATATATTTATTTGTTTTTTAAAAGCAGAAGATGCAAATAATGTTTAGACCATATCTTGCAGATTAAAAAATAATGGAGGAAATATGGTGCAGACCTATTATTTTGCTTCAAAAATTTTTTTATGACAATCAAGAAGACAAACACTTTCACTATATAATTTTATGCGAGATCCAGTAATTGTTTTTAAGCAAGTAGCTTTATATACTGAATGACATTTCATACTGAATGACATTTTGATAATCTTTCAGATTATCAAAATGTATATAATCTTTCAGATTATCAAAATGTTTACAAGTTTAAGAAAACATTAATCTGTAACCAACAATTATTAGCAAACATTAAGGTTAAATACGTTTCTTATACTCAATTACATTTCGTATTTGTACTTTACATTCCTTTAATGATTTACACTCTAACATTTGAGCTGCTTATTTATTGAATACCAAATTAAGCATTATTTATCTCACAGTCGAACCTTCCAGATACAATATTCTGTTTTGTTGTTTAATTAGCTTAAATACTGCCAATCGGTTTAAGAAGCTTATAGGAGATAAAAGGGGTAGCGTTATTATTTTTGTTCATTGTATGTGAAATTCCTAGTGAATAAACGTTTCAGACTGAATTGGAAAGGCTTCTCTTACTTTCAAACTAATGGATTGGATAAAATAAATTTGTCTTAAGAGGCGTATTTATTATACTGTTAAATCCATTCCAGAAATTCAATTCCTGTTTTTAATCTATCTTCAGCCTTTCTTCCATTGTTTTCCAGTTGTATGCATTAGACGATGAAAACAAGTCAATTGTTAAAAGATTCGAAATAAATATTATGGAATTTTATAAAAGAAAAACGCTTTAATTACGATATTTACGATAATTTTGGAAGCCTAATGAAAATTCGAATTGGGTATAATATGAAAAAAACACAACTACTTCTACTTCGAAAATTTTACTAGGAATAGCATTTACCTTTTAGTTTAATTCATAAGCTGAGTTTTAAATATGTTTACTAAATTCATAAACTTAGATAAACGACAAAATAAATTATTTCAAAAGGAACTAGATTAATACAATTCCAACCTGCCGAGTAACGACTTATAACAACACACTTCATTTAATGTTTACTTGTTGCTAGAAATCAGGTTCGCAGAAAATGCTGTTTACAAGTTAAATTTAGTAGGAATAACAGGACCTGTGACGTAGGCTATAGTATACCCAATTACAACATATCTAATCAAAATATACAACTATTGTAGAGTTGAATTGTAGGCTGCTGATACTTCAACATTAATAACACGAGGGTGGATTCTAGCGGAGGACGGAAATAGCACTCGAAGCTTACATACTCCTATCTCTAAAAAGTATCCGTAGTATAGTTTTTTAAAATTCGATTTCATTTTAAAAGTTTGTTGTTTAAACTGAAGAGATAGTTACTATAACTGTTTAGAAGTTTTTTTTATTTGAATTTATAGCTCAAGCGATGGAAGCGATGAAAACATGGCTATAATTTTGTTAACCTTTCTCTTTTGCTTCTAATCAATGACATTTACTTCTAATCTAAATAAGACTTAATAGCGGGAAGAACTATTAGCGACAAGAGAAGTGGATAAAAAAAATCAATAATAAAAAACAAGATTTCTACACTTCTAGAAAAAGTAAGAAAGGAAATATTGTGTGTAACTTATAAAAATAAACTTGATATAGTCTCATTCAATTTTACAGGTATTATGCTCATTTTACATAAAATGTATCTTAAACTGCTGTGCAAGAATTTCTTATAATATTCTTAAAGAAAGCATTTTAAAAGTCGTCAATTTTCGAGTAAAAGTAATAATAGCAAATAATTCGCAGGCTTTTTATTTAATTTCTTTAAAGATTTTATAAAGAAAGGACGCCTCTGCCCTCCAAAAGATGGTCTTTATTGCATATTCGGTTTGTATTTATTAATTATTTCTAACCAGGACGTTTTCCTACAAGAAATATTATATTAACATACCACAAAAGGGAAAAAAATGTAACTTTAAAGATATTGATAGAAAAGAGTTATTTGAAAAACATTGTTAAAAATATTAATATTTAAATATTCAATAAATGTTTGATGGTTTTAATTGCAATTCGGTTTGTATTTATTAATTATTTTTAACTATGACATTTTCCTATAAGAAATATTGTATTATTGTATTGTATTAACAAAAGGGAAAAAAAATGTAACTTTAAAGATACTGATGGAAAAGAGTTATTAAAAAAACATTGTTAAAAATATTAATATTTAAATATTAAATAAATGTTTGATGGTTTTAATTGCAATTTGGTTTGCATTTGTTAATTATTTTATTTATAACATTTTTCTATAAGAAATATTATATTAACATACCACAAAAGGGCAAAAAAATGTAACTCTGAGGATACTGATAGAAAAGAGTTATTAGAAAAACATTGTTAAGAATATTAATATTTAAATATTAAATAAGTGTTTAATTACATAATTCTTGTCTTGTAAGATATTAACCTGTCAAAACATGTTCCGAAAATAATGAAGTATCTTCTACTTAGAGTGACATCTTCACTTTTTTACAATGAAAGTAAAATTATATTTATTTTTACTCTTTGACGTAAGTGACCCTTTTCTTCATTATAGTCATTTCCCTTTAAAAGATCGTAATTGAAGTCTAGAGGATCATAAGTTCATATAGATAAATATTTGCTTATTCTTTTTTTTTCTGTTTCTCTCTTTTTGTGGAGAGTCATGCAAGTGGATTATTTAATTGTAAGTAAAAGGGGTTACTTGGTGTTATTTAGTTTACTTAAAAAGTCATTCGGATTTAGTATCAATGCTTTTCATGTATAGTTGTGTATTTTACTTCTTTATTATTATAATTATGGTTTACTTTTTAAATTAGATTTTGTAGAACGTGTTAGAATAGAAAAACATGTTCCTTCTATGCATATAATTTGGGGATTATTTTTCGTGTTTTTCGATTAAAAGTTTTCAGCTTAAAAACATTTTATAATTGATGTATTTAAAAGAAAAGTACTTTAGATAGTGCTGCTATTGATACGAAAATATTTTTTATTTTTGGAATTTGTCGCAAAAAATGATCACCGGCTATTATATTCTGTAGTAAAGTTGTATTTACTCAATGATAAGAAATATCGAAAATAATAAAAAAAATTATGTTAAATAGACTTCGCTTTGGAACTTAAACGCTTTTTTCAAAAGATACTTCTCTTTGCTATAGAATTTCTATTCATTTTTATTCCCAGAATATATCAATATATTTTGAAGCCGCGAAGTCTGATTTTCTTTATATCTATAAAAAAAAAATCTACAATTTTGCACAAAGGATCTTCAAAAGCTCTACAAATTATGAAAATAGGGCTTTTTGTACTTTGAAAAAGGGCCCGAAATAAATTTTCTCCTTTGACCGTTATCTTCTTCTGCCGCTGCACTGCTACTTTCGTATGACAAGCATAGACGCAAATCAATGGGGTGGGTACATGGCCAAGTAATACTCGGTTTTCCCTGCTATCAGAGGTAATCGAAACGAAACAGAAGTACAGGGCTAATATGGGGCTAAATGGTTATTGTTTGTTAGAGTATGAATCTTTTGTAAAAGTATATTAAGCAGGTCTAAAAATAATTTTTTTCAGAAATTATTAATAATTAATAACAGCTTAAGAAGAAGAAAACATTAGAGGGATTACATAATAAAACAAACTTGTCAACACAGACAACACAATGAATCAACAACAATACGCAAATACAGTAGGTCCTTCTTGACTAGTGAAATAAAATTCAGAATTTGTTCGATCGAAATCAGAACTAATGACTACGAATTGCGATTTTGGTGAACTAATTTCACCAAAATCGCATGATATGCATGATGTTTCGACCTTTAATAAACTAAATAAAAATAATTAAACAACCTTAATAGTTTATATTCTGCAATTGTGTGCAAAACTTTTTCAATTATCTTAAGTAGAATTAGAAATTTGGTGAGCTTAAAGATAATTATTTTTACACTATGTGATCAAAACTTTTGATTACTCATCTGACTTGTGCTCTACTATTGCCACAAAATTTTCCAAATTACTGATACCCCTATGATTTGAGGATCCAAAAAAGGTAATTCAAACAAAGTACGTTTTAGTGCTTGATTTTTTAATTTGAAACATTGTCTGTATAAATATATTACCATATTTAAGGAAAGACTTGAACCAATAAGATAACATCTAAGTATGCTATGACTCGTTCAATAGATTAACAGTTATGCAACTTTTTATTCTGCATAAAGGTTCACTTTTCCTAACTTGCGAATCTATATTACATAAAACGCTAATACGTATGTATCAATAAAACCGATGATATTTCTCTTCTCGCGTTGGCAACAGTTTTTATTTTTAATTGATAGGCTTCGGCGCGCAAGAGCACGTAGTGAGCATCATATGGCTGATCAATATTATATAAAACGCTAATTCGTTTTAATTGATATGCTTTGGCGCGCAAGAGCACGTAGTGAGCATATCATATGTCTAATCGGGTGAATTCTCACTGAATTATCAAAAAAATTCTCACAAAATTATCTTCATCGAAGCCGATGCTTNAGTGGTGTAAAAATTTGTATACCTTACCATTCAATTTTTTTCTACTATTATTGTATAAAATAATAAAAACTAATAAATAATTATTAAAAATTATTTTTGCATATCTTTGGATTAACGAATTATATAAAGGTGTAAAAATTTTTTCAAAAAATCCTCGAGCAACGGTGAAATACGAAAGAAGTAAAATTATATTGAGGAGGTCAGATTTTGGTCCGCTGTCCAAACCAAACGAATGGGACCATATTTCCCACTTTGATTACGGCTACCTCCCTTATTTTGGGGGTTAGAAATCCAAATTCACTGAAATTTTTTTTTGTTTATTCAGAGGAAGCACGTTTCTGTGTCTGATTTTGTAACATAAATTATCGTCTTCATTAATTATTTAGCATATTCGAAGTCATCTCCTCGAGCCATTAAGATTGAGTCCCAGAACGTGAAGATCCGATCATTAGATTAAAAGTTATTAAGGGTGGTTCATTTTTTATTTTTCTCACTATACGTTGAATCATGTCAAATATTATTCTTTATACACACTACTCAAAAACAGTTTAGTTCTCTTACAAAATATTTCTTTAAACTTTATAATAAACGCATTTGATTCCTTATATACAAAATTATTTACAAAGACAAATAAATAGCTATCTTTATAATGTAAACTCAAAATAATTGTATAAAAATTTAACTTACCGTTGTGGGATTATTCCATCTGTTTTCAAAATCCTTTTTAGCTTGTTCTAAATACTGTTTAACTGTAAATAAAAAAAATAGAAAACTCATTAAAGTTTCGTTAAATATTTGTTGAAGCATTTTATTTAGAGCTCATGACATATAGTTAACATAAAACTACTAATTGTTAGTCAAATATATATTTTATTCATTGATATTTTTCATTAAATATTTTCAAAAGAATAATTTCCAAATAGAAGAATATGATTAAACATGTCAGCAATTGGATGCTTGGATACTTATTTTGGTAAATTTTGCAGTTTACATTCGACAATTATGTGAGAGCTTAGATATTTGTCTCTTCACTGCATTTTAGAAAGAATTTAGAATATATAGTTATACATTTTCTGCTCAAAATTGCATGCTTAAAGTCTTAATATGACATTAACCGGGTACACCAGTTTGAATATTATGTATTAAAAGGAATAAAATAAAAGTTTTGTTTCGATGATAATAAAATATAAGAAGCAACATTTAAGTACACTAACTGGAAAGTTGAGTATAGCGATACAAGGAAGTATTACAGTTTTTTAAGTAGCATGCAAGTTTAAATGCTGGACTGGAGCATCATCTTCAGCGCACAATATATTCATTGTGCATTGAAGAAAATTGTTAGAAATTTCTCAGAAAAAAATGGTTAAATAACAATTAATTCAATTGTTATTTTTATCGTAATTCAAACAAGACAGTTACATAACCACAAATAAGATGGAATTCAAACTGTTAACTGTGAGAAGAACATATAGTCATATAGCACATATATAGTCATATAGTACATATATAGTCATATAGTACATTGGTACATATAGTCGAAAAGGCTAATCTGTCAATCTCATGACCGACGCAACGGCGTTTGAGTCCCAGCGTTGACACTACACTATTTCCACCATTCCCTTCAACACGTGATTTACAGGATCCTGCTCTTCTCAATTTGTGACTCTGGACTATTAGAAAACGGCAGTCTCATTCATACATAGATGGCAGCACCAGAAAGCTTATGAACACAAAAAGTTTACTATTTTTCATCTTACGAAATGTGAAACAACCGGATAAACTAATTAAATCACATTCCACTGTTCATTCGATAAAACACAATTCAATCTTACATAATTACAATGCCCATTACCCAACGAAAAGCCTACTTTCAATCTCCAGTTAAATGTCATTTTTACAGTTTTGAAATTATGCTAGTTGTAAATGGTTGAAAATTTTTTGAGTTTTGTATTCTTGGATATTTAGTCGTACTAGTTGTAAACGGTTTCAAAACAGAAAAGGTGAAAAATGTTCTTTACTGTAAACTTTACGGTTAATTACAAGGACAGACTGCTACCGGTTATTTTACAGTAACTTTAGGATGTAAATTTTAACAGTGTTGGCACTCAATAAAACAAAACAAAATTATTGCTTTATTGTGAACTGAAGATGCAGTTTAAGAACAGCATCGAAATTCGTATGCTCTTTTCTTTAATATTTACGTGTTTTCATATTTATTTTATAAGTATTTGATATCATTAATAGTTGGATAACTGCTTCAAAATCTTTTAAACTTATTTATTTATATAGGTTAAATATTGGTTAAATGCAAGGTTAAGGTTACAAAGGTAAGATCACAAAGTACAAGGTTTGAAAATTTACGATCATACTTCCTCAATTGATGAGTAAAATCTTAAGTCCAAAATGTGGAAGCCGGAGGTCTAGCGAGTTTACTGTACTCTTCTTGCACCACAATACAGTAAAAAACGGGATTTAATATTAAAAAAAACACTTACACTACACTTTTTGTGATGATGGATAATTATTGTGTGTAAATTGATCCGAATCAACCTTCACCCATACTCACTCAGAAATATGTCGAATGTAAAGGGTGATATTAAAATATCAATGGAAATATCCATGTAATATTTGCTTTATTATAGGTTGTGTCTGTTTTAGGTTAATACAATATCCCTATACCATATTGAACTAAATACAACTTATAACAATTGTTTACAAAATTGTATTCCTGTGTTTTGGTCAAAATTACTTATTATTAGATAGGAGGAAATGTCTGCTATTTTTTTTAAAAAGATATGTGATGCTGGAATCACTACTATTTATTTATTATTATATAATCAAATGAGAGGAAATATGGTGATTCCAGCTTAACAAAAGCAACGCACTCCTGCAATAGTCAGTTATTAGTCAAAGGGCTATGATGATGATGATGGCAATGTAGTACGTACTGGTAAACTTTAATTTAGAGGTAAAATGGTATTCAATTATCTGATGCTGAGCAGGTTTTAAGCCGCATCTGAGAATAAACTCCAAATCTTTCATACCATCAAACCAATACGTTAATCACTGTGGCACGCAAAAATCTTTATTGTAATAAATAAGTTCAGGCTGTGACAAAGCTATACTAAAACCGAAAAAAAAATCTAAACTCAAAACTATTTACTAAAGTATATTTTTCCGGAGATAAGTACTATAGAATGCTTATTTTAGTCATTTTTTTATGTCTAATAGGCAGTAGTTTTCAAACACCTGGTTTTTCATCATTTTAATTTTTTAAGTTCTTCCCGTAAATTTTCTTTAACATATTTTTTCATATATCAGTTTCGGTCAAAATTTGTGAAAAATATTACTTTTAGGATTTTAATAATTTATGGTTAGAAATACAGCATGAAAAACTGAGGTCTTTTCTGCGTTAAAGGAAAAATCTTCCAAACAAACAATTTTCAAATTTGCACTAATTTGTAGTTATTTGATCTAAGAGAAACAGTTATTAATCTTTGAATTTTCTTTAATTTACAAAATTAATTATTGATAAATATTTGAGTATGAATGAAAAAAATTCAAATAACTTTTTTTTGTATCTTGTATTTCAATGCTTATACAATTTCGATAATCTAACAGATTTTTTAAGTAACTATTAAACTGTTTTTTATAATTAAAAAGGTATCAAAATATAGTTTTGCTTATAATTAGAGCATCAGAAAATATTATACGAAAGGAACACCCGTGTCCCATCAGTGTCAAAGGGTTAAGATGGAGTTCTTGACTGGAGAACAGACTTGATTACTCAATAAAATTAATTATGGATTTGACAATTATCCAAGTAATCATTTTGATAAAATAATAATTTATTTTTTATTGACTAGCTGTTTGAATTTAGAACATTTATTTAGTCTACATGTACTGTGTTGTTGTTGTCTCTAATGCAATTTGCCAATGCCAATAATCCTGCTTGGTGAAATCAAACGTAGAGGTGTTGTTAAAGTAGAGGGTGCGTTTCTTGTTTCTCAATGACACCATCTAGGACCAAGAATACGACTTCAACCACACACACGTCACAGCCCGTTTATAGGAATGCCTCATTCATTTTTCCATAGATCGTAATTTTGACCTGAACCAAAGAATGATCAATCTCCAATTCAGTACAGGCCAGAGGTATGATTTGTTAAGGGAACATGGAGAACTTTGTTACCCGACAGACTTAACATGCACCAGAAACCATTTACTACACAGGGAGACTTCGGCCTGCGGGGATCGTACTCACGAACTCTAGGACATGGACCCAACCCCCTACCAATAAGGTTATTCCGGCCTCATATACTGTAAAATGTACATTTAAATTTTAAAAAAAATATTTAGTGTTTTAAAAACATTCAACTATATGGGACATTAAAATGTTTCAAGACAAGTTCGAGAAAAAATAGAGTTAACTACTTAATTTACTTTCTGGCAGACTTTCTGCAGCTTCTGTTAATCCACACATTGGCATCATAGTTCTTAAATTTACAAAAAAAGTCGATAAAAAATGATATTATTTTTTAAATTTATTATAGGAACAATAAAACAATAAGGAAAACATGAAGAGTGGCGAAATATTTGGACACAAATAGAGTGACATGGAAAGCTATGATAGAAGCTCTATGCTCCAATACGGAGAGAAGAAGAGTAAGTAAGTAAGCAATATTCACATAGCTGTGTTCACATTTATTGGTTCACTCACTACTCATTTCAAACTGAGTACGTTAAATTTGTAGGCAGCATGCACATGCTTTTTTTTTTTTTTTAACTATATCACCAAATGCTCATGTTATTTTGTAGACGCTTCTGCAGTTATTTCTACCGAGCAGAAAACTCATTGACTAAGATTACCTTTCTATTTCAATGAGTGAGATCCAGGTGCATTTATATGATTCCTGAAAATATATTCTAGATTGGAAACTAAAGATATGGTCAAAGATCACTATGGTCAAAAAATATTTTTGAAGAATTTATCTCACCAATCTTCAATGTCTGGCCAGCATTTGGTAAGAATATACTTGAGGGTGCCCCTTGGCGAAATTGGCAACTTATGCTTGGCGCCGTTCCTTTTTGCGCGGAACACCGTGGTAACAGGAATGGAGGTCAACAAATAATGATATTTCAATAAAACATTGGAAAATTTCAACAAAACATCGGCCAAAACTTTATAAAATTGCAATGAACCCAATATAAGCAGAATTAATAAACCCAATAAAATGTATTTTGAATCGAAACAAAAATTAAGTGAGTAAGCACAGAAGGAAAAGGAAAAAAACAACTCACTTCTTCATTAAGCTTGAATTTCCTCAGATTTAGGTGTGCAGAATTCTCTAATAGCAGTTAGATACTGTCTAAATTTATCATGAATAGAATCTGTGTACCTCCATCGCCACATGAATTAGGCGAAATATGAATCGAAAATGGCGTCTGTGGTACCGGACTGGCAGAGACATTTTTTTCTGATGTCCCTTTTTATGACTGCCCACAAACCTTCGATCTTATTGACCAGAAGCAAAAGTAACCTTACCAGCCGGTATCCTACGTAGAACTAACAGACCTCTGAAATTACATATACCGTTGAACATTTAAAAATAACGCTAAAATCTAAACCAATCAGAATCATGATTGCGTTTCAACATCGCCCAGCTTGGCGATCAACCACGATCACAACTTGGCAAGAATTAAGGGGCACCCTCAAATATAGTCCACCCAGAAGAACTTATTTTTCAATACAATACAAATAGTGGTTTTTTTTGTGTGCATTATTTTCTCTTTTCTCTTCTAAAAATGAACTAATCTCCAAATCATGCTTTATCTGTTTTTGATCATCAGATAGTATTATAAATAAAGAACCAAAGTAAAATGACATTTAATGGTTATTTTTACTACTTTATTAGAGACAGAAAATACTTTTTCCTCTAAAATTTGCAGTCGTATGTACGAATAATTAAATATACCTTGTTCTTCTTTATCTTGGCCTTTTAGTTGATCCGTTTGCGAATTCCCCATAAGGTATTCAGCATTACGTTTTAGAAGATAAACAAAACAACAAAAATCTCAGTTTTCAAAATCAAAATATATTGACATGTAAAATATAATTTTCTATATTTTTCTGACCAATAACTCAGTCGTATAATATTAGAGTGAGTTCGTAAAAATGTGTAACACACGTGTAATATTTAAAAAACTCAAGGAACGAATTAAACTAGCTCATTATGTTTGATTATCTTTACGTTCATTATCTGTCAATAAAATGAGTCTCATTTCATTTCAGTTCATTTGTTACCTAACACTGTACTTATCTTTTTAAATTTCTTATGTTATTGTGATCCTTTATTCTTTTAGCACAGATAAATAAATTTCACGAGGATATCAAACTGCCATTGGAGGGACTTCTGAAATTTGTCATTTCCCCGCAACGTTAATCAGTGTTGAAGGTAGTTAGGTAAGTTTGCAATAATTTTCATCCCTGTGTAGATTTAGTTAAAGATATCCTTCAGTAAATAAAAAAAAAGTGTGAAAAGCTAAGAACACAAAATAAGAAAGTCTCGTCCAACTATTTCAAGTTAGCGAATATTTTAAAAATAATTGTTGGAATATTTATTTTTAAGTGAGTTTCCATATGTATATATTTTCAAAAAAGTTAGCAATTTGGTATTATATACAAAGTCTAGGCATTGTATACAATCGCGAAAATTGACCGGCAAAGAACTAAATGACTACATATTTCACACATTGTCTAGGCATGGTATACGAGGCAAAATGGCGAATCGGACAAAAAAAAAAAGACAAATTAACTTTTAAACGCTAATTTGCACCTTGTTTTCCAAACTTATAACATAAATTCGCCTATAATGAAGGGATATGGGTTAATTAATGTAGCCTATATCCATCTAACATTAAATTGAAGCATAAGCTATTATCATTCTTATCAGTCAAGTAATGTATAAAGTAAGTCATGTTACGTAAAGTCATAATCAGAAACGTTAGGTTTCGAGAAATGTTACTGGAGACCGATTTTGAATTGGATATTTGCTTTTTAAGAAGATCATGGATACCCACACAGGTGACCTACGACGTCATCGCTGATCGTTTTATTATTTTTTTTTTTATATCCATCGTTAAACAGCCGACCCAATTTTGGGTTTACGACTACTAATGTTCAACCAAGTAGCCTTGCATTTTTGAACCAATCCAGAAGACAAGGAAACTCCTGGATCAGTACCCCCAGAGGTATTGATTTGTTATGGGAGCACGGAGGACTTTGCGTCTCGTCAGATTTAACGTGCATCAGTCATCATTTACTACACGTGGAGTCTTCGGTCTGCGGGGATCGAATCCATAAACTCTTGGCCCAGTGCCCTACCAACAAGGTTATCCCAGCCTTCAGCTGATCGTTTATAAGAAAATGGCGAGTTAAAGATGAGTTAAGTTTCTCCACAAAAGTTGGAATGTTAATTAACATGAAGTTAGCTAAATACAGGGCCGTATCACACATCGAATTTATTAAAATATAAATCTTTTCTTAACTTAAATTATTTTTATTGTAACCATGATATATTTTTGTTCTGTGTACTTGGCAACTTCAATGCATAATTAATTTGTTTTTCTTCTACGTGGATTCGTGCCTGTCTTTGTGTTAAGTAAGAAATATATAGTGAAAGAATTGAAATCTTCGTGACAAAATCTTTGTGTAAGAATATAGAATGTATCACTTATGGGAGCTGATGCTTGACGGGCTTGGCTTACTCGAAATAGAATGGAAAGAGCACTTGCTACCGTAAACAAATGCCACGTTTCAGCAATCAATCAGAATCGAGATACCCACACTACGTCACTTACAGGTATTTCATTAAACATCTCAATAAAAGTGGAAACTCTATAAATGCAGTAAATATTTTTTATATTGCAATTAAGTACTTATTTTCTTTTCTTATATAGGCAGGGTTGCGCGTTCAATGCGATGAATGGCTTATTAACCAAAGGCAAAATAAGAGTAATCAGAAAGCAGGAAGTACAAATTAGAGGAGACAGCACAACATACACCCATTCATACGGCTTATCAAATAACCAATCAGATTTGAGAATTTTGGTGGTGTGATCGGAAAATAATCTTCTCGAAATAATCTCCTGGAAACCTAGTTTGGCGAGGTTTCAAAAACTTGTATGGCGAGATTTAAAGAAGTCGCCAAGAGGTGGGCTATTCTAGGATCCACCCTCTTTTGTGAAAAAAATCGTAATTAGACTGATCTAAAAATAGTTTCTTTATTTTGCCCAAAAATCTCGTTTTTTTAAATTAAGGTTATATTTCTTAAAGTGAAAAAAATAAAATGATAAAGGTTTTCTTCAGTAAAAATTTTAATTTTGTTTCACGTAAAGACATTTTTCTTGTTAAAAAGTGGGAGAAAAAAACTGGAGAAAATCAGAAAACTTCAAATGGAGCTGCAATATTTTTCTTTAGTATCCGTTATTCGTTGACACACGACGGCAGAAATTAAATCATCACATTTTCCAATGCAACGGATTATAAGCCACTTCGAATCCAGAATTCAATTTAGAAACTAGCTTGTTCTTCGTTAAAATAAATAAAGAAAGGTAAAAATATGTTTTTTAACTTAGAATTTTTGATTTGAAATATTTATAAATATGTATTTTTACTTTTTTCTTTTCAAATAAAAGTGAAGCATTAAATCCAAAGAGTCGGAGTCAAAAATATTTCCTTCTATCATAAATATAGCATTTCTGTATTAATACATATTGACCAGTTTTGAAGAACTATTCTTTCTTTGACTTCAAAAGAAATAGGTTCAGAGATTTTTTTCACTTCTTATTTTTGTTCTACTGTTTCCTAAAGCAAACTAACAGTTATCAAAAACTTATAACAAGAAAACTGTAAAGGTTAAAAAAAATTCTTGCAGCAAATTTATGTCATGGCGCATAAATTTTATACCCTTTTAATGCAAGAGGTAGCGCTTCAGATAGCACAGTATGTAAATTAAAGAAAATTAAACTAAAAATACATTAAAATGTTTTGAAATATTTTATGAACTAAAACAAATTACTATATTTTGCCAAGTTTGTCACTGAATCATTAAATTATATATATTTATGTATATAACAAGAAGTGCTTCTTTATTTTATTAAATTTAAAGATGTTTAAATTATACGATTTCTTATACATATCAATCAATTTTAAAGCTTTCAGGGATTTAATAAATTACAAACAAAAACTAGTATTTTTGAGCGCCCTATGCCAAAAAATATAGTTATGAACTTGTAACTTGCATTGCTTGCTTTGGCTGTTGTTTTTAAAGCTTGTATGAATTTTCAAAACTTAGATTAAATATTTATAAAGATATGAACATTTTTATAAAAAACTTTCTTTTTTTGTCTTACACTTTTTTCTGCTATAATTTTTAAAAATATTCATCAAAATTTTTGAAAATATTTTCAATTGATAACAAAATTATTACATTAAAATTTGAAAAAAAATCGTTAAAAATTTCCCAAGATATGAGCATTTAAAGTAGTTCTCTTATACTGCCTTTGTATGTAAAAATTTTAATTTTTTTCATAATTTAGTAGCGAATTTTACTTTATAACAGATAAAAAATCTACGATTTGTATTTCTTAAAAATGTAAAAAGTTTTTAGCAATTTTCTAAGTTTTTGTATTTTTATTTTTACTAAGGAAGCTTTGAATGATAAGGGATTTTTCACAAATTTTATTTTATAATATTAAACATGACTAATTAAAAATGACCTTGTTAGGGATCATCCCTCATAAAAGTATGTTTGATTTCAAAAGCATTTTTTTTTCTTATGACATCACGCTGGTGAACGGACGATTATTGTAAGGTATTATCATTCCTTATAAAATTTCGTCTTATGATGCAAAATAAAATTTGTGGAAAGCCCCTTTCATTGATAGCTCTCTTTTTAAAATGTACAAAAACTACTTAGAAAATTGATAGAAACTATTTAAATTTTAAGTCTATTCAAATCGAACTTTTTTAATTAGTTACAAATACGATTCACTAGAAAATAATGATTTCTTTAAAAAACATTTCCGCTCATGCGAAGTATGAAAGAACTAATTTAAATCATCCTCAATTTTTAATGAGTTTTTTCAAATTTAAAAATAATAATTTCTTTATGAATTAAAAATTGCTCCTAAATTTTTAAAAAAAAAACTTAAAACAAAAAGATTCGCTTCTTATAAAATGTCCGTATATCCATGAATATTGAAGCTTAGTTTACGAAATTTCATGCAATCATTGCAAATAACAACCAAAGTAATCGATACAAGTTACAAGCTTTTTGCAATATTTTTTAGCATAGGTTGTTTAAAAATACTTAATTTCATAGCGGCTTTTGAAACTTCTTAAAGTTTTAAATTTCATTGAGAAATATGCGAAATTGCATTACCTAAACACCTGTAAAATTACAAAATGATGCTCTAAATATTTCCTGAGAAATTTAAAAACATAAGAAACTGGAAGTTCTTCCATTATTATGATTCCATCGACCCACCATGCGTACGATAGGTCTTGAGAATGAGCGACTTTATTTTGAGTGCTTGAGACATGTCGACTTCTTGTATCCTTAGTTATTTTTGAACAAATAAAATTTACCACTGACTTATTAAAAAAAAAACTTCCTTATATGTTAGATTTTTGAACTATACAGTTTTTGAAAGCATTGTTTAACGTAAAAATAAAATTCAAAATACTTTAGCAACTATGATTTAGTTTCTTTTGTTTGTTTTTCAATTGTGTAAATCTTTCGCTAACTGAACTCAATCAGATTTAAATGAAATGAATAAAACAACGGAAAACATTAAACTAAAATTCACATTAACATAAATATTCTTTAGAAAAGCAAATTTTTCATAAAACGTCAAAAATATGTACTAAATGTCAAAACACATTTCTTTGATTCTTAACATTTTTGGAAATGCATTAGTATTTAACAAACCCTTGCGCGTTCAATGCGATGAATG